CAGCACCTCATCAGATTCACTTCCGTCACGCAGGCCGGCGGCGCAGGTGCGATCGGGAGCACGCTGCTTAGCGGCCCCCATCTCTCCTCCGCAGCCACCCCCTCCTCTCCCTGGCCCCTCACTGGCCTGGGAAGCTCCTGGCCTGCTGCGCGCTGTCCTGCAGCGCCACCGCTGCTGCTGGGCTGAGGGGCCTCCTCCTCAGCACGTGGGGTGCTCCTCGCCGCGGCCTCGCCCTCGAACCTCAGCACCGAGGCGAGCTGCTCCTGCGCCCTCCGCCTGGCCTGCCTCCAGCTGCTGCCGTGGTCTCTCTCACAGCACCCTTGTGGTCGAACCTCAGGGAAGGTCCTCGGCTTCTGGACCAGCCTGAATCGCTCCTCCTCTTGCTGCCTGCGGATCTCGAGAATCACCGCCGAGTGCGGGTACACTGGCGAGGCCTCCACCACCCGCACACCCAGCGCAGCCAGCCCCTTGGACACCAGGAAGAAGTCGATGGTCCTCCCCGACGCTGCGCACGTGGGCGAGGCAGGCCTGACCACCTTGCCGTCGAACATGTCGGGTACCCCGCCCGCCTGCAGCTCTTCCTCCGTGAGGTTCCAGTCACCGCCCACTACGAAGTCCCTGCGACACTGCCTCAACCTCCTCGCCAGCCTCCTGAGGCTGGACACGTTGCTCTCATTGAGGCCGACCCCCGCCTCCAGGTAGATGTTGGCGAGCAGGAAGCCGCAGCGCAGCACGCCCGACACCCAACACAGGTGCGCACGCCCAGCCACCAGCACCGCTGCCTGCTGGTCCTGCACCTCCGCCATGCCGTGGCTCCTCCTCACCATGGTGAGGAGGCCTCCAGTGCTGAGGCCTCCTGCCGCTGACGGCACCGCGGGCGTACCTCTCGCCCGCCATCCTTGGCTTCGTAGCTGCGCCTCCGCATCACTGCTCCTTCCCTCCAGGAGCCTCGTCTCCTGGACCAGAATGGCGTCGCAGTCCTGCACCTCGCTCACCGCCATGCACTTGCCCAGGTTGCAGAACGCATTGACGTTGACCGTGCAGATCCTCCAGACCCCACACTTCATGCTAGGACTCCTCCTCCAACTGCTTGACCTCCGTCCGCATCTTCTTGGCGTCACCCAGCAGCTGCTCGGCTGCTTCCCTCTTGGCAGGGTCCTCCATCCCACATGCGATGTCCTGCCACACCTGCTGCGCCGCCTGCGACACGCCAGGCCCCTCCTCCTTGGGAGCGTCCACCTGCTGCGCTGCCGCTGGCACCGCCGAAGGCACGGGGACCGCCGCAGCCGCAGGCACGCGAGAGGACGCCCCTGCAGCGACGGGAGCGCCAGGCAAGCCACTGAGCTCCGCCAGCACCTTCCCGAGCTTCGCGATCTCGTCCCTCGACAGGCGGCCGATCGCCTCCTGAATCGACTCCAGTGAGGCCGTTGGAGCCGCTCTCGGCTCGGCGGCAGCTGCCGCCGCCTCAGCCTCCTCGGCCGCCATCCTGGCGCGCTGAGCCGCCAGCGCCTCACGTGCCTTGGCCGCCGCCTCATCGCACTCCTTCCGCAGCAGCACCAACTTGTCCGCGAGGCCGACCGACTCGTTGATGGCCGCCACCGCCTTGGCCTTCGCCTGCTCCAGCTGGCCCTCCATCTTCTTGACCTGCACGACCTTGGCGTCCGCCAGCACCTGGGCCGCTTTGACCGTCTTGTCCTTGGACAGCTCGGCCCCCAGCCCGCCCTCACGCAGCCTCCGTGCCTGCAGCAGCTGCTCGCGGACCTTCGGGGACAGGAGCGCGGCGGCGAGGGCGAAGTCGGCCTCCGCCATGCACACGAAGCCACAGCGCTGCTCCTCGCTGAGCACCACGGCGCCACCAGCTTCACGGCCTCCACCTTCTCCACCTCGCCACCACGGGGCACGAGTGGGAGGCTTGCCACCGCCTGCCCCACGCCCGCCGAACCCGCCGCCAGCGCCGCCAGGAGCACCACCACCGCCACTGCCTGCATGCCACCCACGTAGCGGAGGAAAGGCGCCCAGCTGCCGCGACGCTGGCCACCCCGCAGGCTGGCACCCCTTGCGACAGCACGTCCTCTCGGCGAAGTTGTAGTAGTCGCACACCGAGCACTTCCACTTCGCAGGCCACGCCGCACGGCCACCTCCCCCACGCCCAGCACCCACGCCGCCGCTCCCCGCCATGGCGCGCGTGAGTTGGGAAGGAGGCCGCCCGACTGCCAGAGTGCACACACTCTTGCCTGCGCACGGTAGTGCGATCCAGTGAAGCACGGAGGCTGAAAGCCCCCCGAGCAACCCATCTTGAGCCAAAATGGCTACGGAGGAGGAGGAGGAGGAGGAGGAGGAGGAGGAGGAGGAGGAGAAGCTGGAGGAGGACGAGGAGGGACAAATTATCCCGGCAAAGCAACCTAACAGCGATGTGTAAAAGCATAGCTGGAAGCATTGCCTATGGTATTCATGTAGGAGTGCTGGTGTAGAATTTGTTTTGTTCTCGCATTCGCATTCGCAGTGGCAGTCGCAGTGGCAACATCAGTCCCAGTCGCAGTCGCAATGGCATTGCCAGTAGTTGCAGTAGCAATACCTACAGGAGCAGCAGCAGCAGCAGCAGCAGCAGCAGCAGCAGCAACAGCAACAGTAGTAGTAGCAGTAAAAGTAGAAGTGATGGTAGTAGTGGTAACAGTGAAATAGTAGTTGTAGTGGGTGCAGTGAACGAGAACTAGCATTAGAAACAATATTAGCAAGAGTAGTACAAACGAAACACTTCGTCTTCGAAGAGCACGAAGTCGCGTACAGTTGGCTTCGGGCATTCAAAATGTGGCCCGGGAATGGAGTTCTGGGAGGTCGGAGAGCACGAAGTGGCGTACAGGTGGCTCCGGGCATTCAAAATGTGGCCCGGCAATGGCGTTTTGGGAAGGCTAAGAGCACGAAGTGGCGTACAGGTGGCTCCGGGCATTCAGAATGTGGCCCGGGAATGGAGTTTTGGGAAGTCGAAGAACACGAAGTGGCCTACGGTTGGCTCCGGGCAGTCAGAATGTGGCCCGGGAATGGAGTTCTGGGAAATCGAAGAGCACGAAGTGGCCTACAGCTGGCTCCGGGCATTCAAAATGTGGCCCGGGAATGGAGTTCTGGGAAGTCGAAGAACACGAAGTGGCCTACAGTTGGCTCCAGGCATTCAGAATGTGGCCCGGGAATGGAGTTCTGGGAGGTCGAAGAGCACGAAGTGTGTGACTGTTTGCGAAAAACGAATTCGGACCCAGCTCCCCGGATGCCGCCCGGACCCCCCTGTGGAGTCATCTGCTGCTCTCTTTTGACCCCACTAGAAGCCTATCAGTCGTCGCTGTTAGGTAAAAAGAGGAGAGGGAGGAGGAGGAGGAAGAGAAGAGGGAGGAGGAGGACGAGGAGGAGGAGGACGAGAAGGAGGATGAGGAGGAGGAGGAGGAGGAGGAGGAGGAGGAGGAGGAGGGGAGGAGGAGGAGGAGGAGGAGGAGAAGAAGGAGGAGGAGGATCTCTACTATGGATGCTAACTTGCAGGCCGCTGGAAGCACCCAATGCCAAGAGCGTCAACGAATCCCGCCAGGGGCCTGCAAACCAGGACCGTGCTAACCAGGACCTTGACAACTCCACCTGGGGAGAACGAAGTAAGGAGAACTGCTCGGCCCACGGCTGCAGTTGTTCCTCGGGTGCGCCAGCAGACCCTGATTTACAGAAAACCCCGTTCAGGGGGCCCTGGCCCCGAGCATCGAGGATAACAGGGAATATGTCGACCCCTATCCCAGGCTTCGTGGGGTTTTCGAATGGACCGTCAATGTTTGGCCCAGCACTCAGATGTACGATGGGGGGGGCACCCATCCTCGAATATTTCTCTTGGGGTGTACCCCAGGAGTTGCCCCCTTCTTCTGATCCGAGACTAAGCCAAGGCTCGGATAAATTCGGGTGAGGATAAATCGAGAATCTCAGCTGTTCTGGAGGATGTCTCGGGCGCCGCGGCCTTTTCAGCGTGTTCTGGACTGCTCTGAGAACGTTCCGAAACGCTCTGAAACGGATTTATCCTCGTCCCAGACCCACCCGATGAGCGGCCAAACGTTTCGGGCAGAACTCGGGGATTCGAGGCGAGAAGTCGCCTGCGAGAGGAGGGCCCCGGAGTTGGGGGTCGCTTGATGGGGGACGATGAACGGGGGGGGGGGGAGAAAGGTGCTCTTTTCGGGCCCTCGAAGCCCCCTTCTGGGCCCGAAAGGGCCCCTTTGGGGGCCCTCAAGGGCTCCTTTTCGGCAGCCCTCGCTGCCCCCCCCCCGTGTATCGGGGGGAACGAGAAGGGGGAGGATCGCAAAGGGTAGGGTACAGAATCAGCTCACGTAGCTGATTTTCCCAGCGCCTCCCGGCGCCCGGAGGCGCCCACGTATCGAGGAATGGGCCCGGCGGCGGGGCCGCAACCAGTTCCACGCAGCAGATTTCGTAACCCCTCCCCTTTCCCTGTCCCCCCCTCTTGCGAGGCGGGGATCTATCCATGTCCACCGCCTGGGAACCGACGTCCTGGTGCCCTCGCGGGCGGTGGATCGATGGATACATTTCGGCCCCCTGGGGGGGGGCGAGTGGGTCCATGTCCACCGCCTGCCGAAGCTCCGACGACTGCCCCTCCAGGAGGTGGTCGTGTCAATTCCCGCCTCGGACCCCTTTCGTTCGCCCCCAGCCTTCCCCCCCCCCCCCTCCTCCTGGCACCTCCCGGCGTGCGCTCGCTCTGCTCGGAGGGCGCTCCCGCCGTCCCGCGGTCCTCCCCCCCCTTTGCGCTCCTGCCTCCCTCCTCCTCCTCCTCCTCCTCCTCCTCCTCCTCCTCCTCCTCCTCCTCCTCCTCCTCCTCCTCCTCCTCCCCCCCTTTCGTTCGCCCCCATTGCAGCGCCCCCCCCCCCTCAGCGACGGCCCACGAGGAGCCCGTGGCGCGCACACGTCCAGCGGCGGAGGCCTCGCCCGGGCGAGGCGGCTTCGTCGGGGGTGGGGGCCGAGCGCGCCGCTCGCCCGGGCGGGCACGGCTCCTGCCGCGGCGGCGGGTCACGAAGAGAAGCAGCGAGACGAATAATCACAATAATAATAATAATAGTAATAATAATAAGAAGAAGAAGAATACTAATCATAATATTAATAATACTAATAATTAATAATAAGGCTAAAAATAATAATGATAGCAACACTAAACATGATACACAGCATAACGCATAGATATAATAACAACAAGGAAAATGATAGTATTAATGATCATGCTGATACTGATAATAGTAGTAATTAAAACAATAAGAGTAACACACATAATGCAAACAACCAGGTATATAAATAACAAGAGTACGAAACATGATACTGATGACGATGGCAATGCTAGCAAGAATCATGCTCATCAGAATAATGACAAGCATACAGATAACACTAACATGATAATACTGATGGCAATACACATGAGACGAATGGAGAGCGAAATAACAAGAGACAAACAACTATAAGACGTAAGGAAGGCGTGAGGCGGGCAGTAAGGAAAATCAGTACATATACTGAAAAAGTAACCACACAATAACACCAGCAACAGTGAGACAAGCCAGTGAGAAGTAAAACACCTGTAAAATATACTATGGGCAATGGATAAGGAAGCATTGGATCGGGAGTCCAAGGTCTGGGGACCGATGTGACACCAAGTGAGGCTTGGCCATGGATGTCACCGCCACCCTCATCCGAAAAGAAATCCTCCAGGGTCTGAAGCCGCCTGGGCAGAGTCCCTCACGAACGCCCCCATAGTTCGAAGAAAAAGAAGAAAAACAAGAGGAACAAGAATAATCATACAAATAATAATAATATTACTACTAATAAGAAGAAGAAGAAGAAGAAGAGAGGATGGGAAGGACAAGAAAAGAGGGATCGAGGGGGAGATCCTCCTCCTCGTCCTCCTTTTCAACCCCTAACTCCTCCTCCTCCTCCTCCTCCTCCTCCTCCTCCTCCTCCTCCTCATCCTTCTGCCCTCTCCCTCCCCAGCCCTCCCCCCCCCGATCACCCTCCTGAGGGAGAGGAGGACGCGGAGGGCCGGCGTAAAGAGGGAAGAGGGAGGATCGAGGAGAAGGAGGAACAGGCTCGAGGCTCCTGGACGCTTCTGGGCCTCCCTGAGGCTCCGTTGGGCCTTATCGTCGCCATGGCTGCATCCGCCTCGTCATTCTGCCCAGAACGCACCCCTGAACAGGTCTGCGGGTCGATTCCTGAGGCGGGGCAGCGATAAGGCTGCCGAGGAGACTACTTTTTCCTACGGGTGCGCCTCGGCGGGGCCGCCGATGCTTCGTGCGTCGTAGGGCTGCATCGTCGTCGCCATCCGACGTCGTCGTCGTTCGTCGCGCCCGTCGTCCGTCGCCGTCGTCCGCCGTCGTCCGCCGTCGTCCGTCCGTCCACCGGCGTCCCGTCCGTCGCCCGTGCGTGCCGTCCTCTGCAGCCATCGTCGCCGCTGACCGTCGCCCTCCGTGGCCGTGGCCCAGTCGCCGTCGTCGTCGGCCGCCGTCCTCCGTCGTCGTCGTCGGTCCATTCGGTGCGCGGCCGCCCTCGCGCAGCGGGGGCCACTCCTGGCGAACGGCCGCCAGGTGCTGCCGAAATACAGGCGCAGCCGCTCCTCCCGGGCGGGGGGGCCTTGTCTTCCACCTCCTCCTCCTCCTCCTCCTCCTCCTCCTCCTCCTCCTCCTCCTCCTCCTCCTCCTCCCCTTCCTCCTCCTGCACCCTTCCTTTTCCTCCTCCTCCTCCTCCTCCTCCTCCTCCTCCTCCTCCCCCTCCTGCTCCTCCTCCTCCTCCTCCTCCTCCTCCTCCTCCTCCTCCTCCTCCTCCTCCTCCTCCCCCTGCTCCTGCTCCTCCTCCTCCTCCTCCTCCTCCTCCTCCTCCTCCTCCTCCTCCTCCTCCTCCCCGTCCTCCTCCCGAACCTGGAACGGCGGGCTGACTCCTCCGAAGAGCGAGGGAGACAGAGAGAGAGAGAGAGAAGGAGAGAAAGGAGGAGGAGGAGGAGGAGGAGGAGGAGGAGGAGGAGGAGGAACGAGATAGGGGAGGAGGCGCCAGGGGGAACAGCAGGCACGACGGATGAAGGTGGGAGAGGGGACGGAGAGGGTCGCCAACACAACCGACGCCCCCTGAAGGACCCCCCCCCCGCAGAGGGTTGTGCTCTAACGGAGCTTCCCTGGTATCGGCGGCCCTGCAGGTACTGTGGCTCGTGTTCGTGCTGCCCTCCCCTGGACACTGCCCTCATCCCTCACCCGCTCCTCGCTCTGCCCCCACCGTCGACCGTGCCACGGTCGGCAGCTGGCTGAGCGGCGAAAATGGCATCCCACCCAATGCGCAAGCTAACATAACAAGAAGATGGTCAGTTGCCCGATACTGCAAATCATCGATCGCGGGTGTGTGAACCAACCTACGCATCGGCCGGGTGGCGGGACGCGCACTCGTGGCGGAGATCAGTCTCGCAGCTACTGCAATGGTGTCGGTAGGATCAGGCGGCCCAATCACCTCCACATGACATTCACATTGCAGCATTACCATTCGTTGCAAGATGGGCCGTTTGATCGGTCCCTCGACAGTGCTGGGCCTCCACACCGAGGAAATGAGAGCCACAGTCGCCTTATCGCCCTTTTTCGGGCGTGCCGACGCGTTAGAAAGGTGGCGAGGACGGCTTCGGCGATGGCGCTGGCTGCGGCGCTGGTGGGGAAGCCGGGCACGTCATGCCTGGGCAGGGAGGGCATGTCCGCGGATGGCCTCCATCGTCTCGCCCTCTTTTTCTTGGGCTGTGGCACCCAGGATGCCGGGGTCAAGCGCGCTCAATGCCCTCCTCATCTGGCCGATGTCCTCCTCCAGCGCGCTCCCGAGGTCATGCTCGCTGCCGGAATCGAGGGGGGTCTGGCGCGGGGCAACCGCTTGGTGTTGGTCAGCTCTGGATTTCGTGGCGGTTGTGGCAGTGACAAGGGGGTGGGGTCCTCGGCGACGTAACCCGAAAGGCTAGGTAAGGAGGGCCGCCGAAGGTGCCGCGGAAGGATTTCCATATCTTTTCATTTGAAATGATGGCCCGCGACTAGAGTCTACTCCAGGATGAAACGCCCAAGAGGGCAACTCCGCCTCTGCGGTAGGCGCTGTCCTGATCGCCTTAGCCGCGGCACTGTCCTGGTAACCGCAGCTGCCTCTTTGTGGTCCCCACAAGCAGCACCGGGCACGTCAAAGTTGGGCAGGGCAGTCGCGCTCCCGGCTTCCTCCTCCCCCTCGCCCTCTTTCCCCTCGCCAGGGATGTCGAGCCCCAGCGGGCGCGTTATCCTCCTCCTCCTCCTCCTCCTCCCTCCTCCCTCCTCCTCCTGCTCCTCCTGCTCCTCCTCCTCCTCCTCCTCCTCCTCCTCCTCCTCCTCCTCCTCCTACTCCCCCTCCTCTTCCTCCTCCTCCTCCTCCTCCTCGAAGTCCCCCCCCACGCCCTCTTCAGCGCGCGCCCCCCGTGCTCGGTGGCCTTTTCCCCATCGCCCTCCTCCGCGCGCTCGCTGCCGCCGGCAGTGGCGCTGAAGACGCCCGTGACGACCCCGGGGCGTGCAGGCGGGCGCCCCGGAGGTTGCAAGGGAAAGCCCAGCAACCAATGCGGCCCAGAGGGGGCGGAGAGGGCGGCATCCGCGCATGTGCTGGAGGAGGAGGAGGAGGAGGAGCAGGAGGAGGAGGAGGAGGAGGAGGAGGAGGAGGAGGAGGAGGAGGAGGAAAGGAGGAGGGAGGAGGAGGAGGACTAGGAGGAGGAAGGAGAGGAGGGGAAGGAGGGGAAAGAGAGGGGGAGGAGGAGGGGGAGGAGGCAGGAGAGGGGGGCCCCCGAACTGCAGCCGCGGGCTCGAGCGAAGATGCTCGGAGATGGAGGTGCCCCTGTAGTCCTGCCGACTGCCACGCGGCTCGTTGCCGCGACCGCCGGCCTTCTGAGGCTGGTGCGGCCGTCGGCCTGCCGCGGTGGGCGTCGAGGCTGGCCGCGAGGTCCTCGGCAAGTTCGGCGCAGGCCCTCCGCGCGAGGCGTCCGCGGGCCAGCCCACGGCTGCAGCTCCGAGATCCTGGCCCCGACGACGGTGCGGGCCGCTGGCGTCGAGGAGCTCGTGGATGAAGGGGCCCCAGGACACACAAACATAGACACACAAATAAACATATGGCGGGCGGGCCTCGACTCGCAGCCGGTGTGGTCGGCGGCGGCGGCGGCGTCGGATGGAGGCGTGGGCACCTCGGCAGCCATGGCCCGGCACGCGCCGGGCGCCTCGCCCGGCAATCTGCCTGCTACGGGACCCTCCGCATCTGTGGCGAGGGCTGGGCGGGGGGGGGGATCCACGCCCCCGAGTCGGGGAACGACTCATCCGCCTTTTCCACGCCATATTCATCCTGGACTCGTCCTCCTCCTCCTTGTCCGCCTCCTCCTCCTCCTCCTCCTCCGCCTCCTCCTCCTTCTCCTTTACAACAGCTCACCCCCTTGCGCACCACCAGACGTGGCTGTAGGCTGGGGTGCGTTTCGGCCGACTTCCTTATAACTTACACTCCTGAAGCTTGAGCAACAAGGAGCTGGGATGGAGGACCCGTCGTTTCCAAGATGCTGCTCTCACCTTAGCACCGCGAAACCTCCGCATGTTTGGACGTTATTTGCCGACAGTCTAACATTCTACAATCCGCCCTGGAAGCAAATGTCCTCTGCTTCCTCCACCTCGCTCAAGGTCGTCCACGGCGGCACCAAAGCCAAAACCTGGTCGAACCACCGCGACACCGAATCCCGGCCGAAACCGAATCGAGCGAACGCAGGCTGAGAAGGACACAGCCGAATCGACCGAACCGCAAACAACTTATGCTGAAAGTCTGTGGGACATCATCTGCCCCCTTGACCCAGTCATCCGCGCCACATCCGAGGCCACCTAACGCTCGGCATTTAAAGTGGCGCGTCCTGCAACAGGGGACGTGATGCGTCCTGCGATTACGCTGCTCCTTCGTCTCCTGCTCATGTCCGAAGCTACCTCGAGGCCACACGACGCAATTCTGAGGTTACACCGCTGTCCTGGGGCTCTGCTGTGTTCTTGCTCGCTGGAGCATCTGACACGTGTTTGAAGCCACGCTGCCGACGCCACGCTGTCGTGTGGCACTGCTGCGTTTTGTGCTCTGAGCGCACACCGCTTCAGGCGGCGGAGAGCTTGAAAGATCAATCCAGCAGATGCGGGAGCCTGAACTTTGTGGAGGAGGAGGAGGAGGAGGAGGAGGAGGAGCGTTGAAGTGGAGGATGTGGCCTAGGGCCTAGGGTAGGGGGTGGAGGACGAGGGGAAGGAGGAGGAAACAGGGACGACGATGGAGGACGATGGCCGACGCCGAAGACTGCAGCGAGAGCGGGCACAGCGGGCGGGGCCCCCTCGCAGGACGGACCCGCCGCTCGCCCTCCGCCGCTCCAAAAGGCCGGCCCCGCCCCGCCCGGCGCGCTCCGAGGCCCATGGCGGCCAGCTCTCGGTGAGCTCGGCGCGGAAGGCGGCCCTGTAGGCACCCACCAGCCTCGCGGCGGGGGAGGAGGAGGAGGAGGAGGAGGAGGAGGAGGAGGAGGAGGAGGAGGAGGAGGAGGAGGAGGAGGAGGAGGAAGTTTTGGTGCGGGCCGCGATTGGGAGGGGGGGGGGGGGGGGCCAGAGGAGGATGGCTCTGAGCCCACCAGGCTCGCGGCGGGGAGGCTCAGTCGGGCTGCTGAGAGAAGGAAGGATCAGCAAGGAACGAAGCCCCGTTCTGGCCCCGCAAGCGCCTGCGTGCAGGAGGCAGGCTGGAGGAAAAGCCATAGGAGGACCTCAGGAATATCGAGCCCCTCTCTCACCCGAACTGCTGCACTGCGTCCAGATTCGAGGGGGGGGGGCAGAGGTGGGGCCAGAGGAGGATCGCTCTGAGCGGCTCCTGGAAGAAGGACGTGTCAGCATCCAGGCGGGCTCGCTCCGTGGGCCTACTGTGGGATCACATCAACTCTACATCCCCCCTGGACAGGAGCACCAGAAAAACTGGAGTTTTGAAATGTACGGACGGAGCCCAGAAAAAAGGCCCCAAACAGTTGCCGCACACACATCTATCTATCTATACCTATATATATATGTATATATATATGTGTGTGTGCATATGTAGATACAGGTTTTTTGTACATACATCCATATACACAAATATATCCGCATACATGTATATGCATATGTATGTATGTGTACATAAATGCATGTGCATATATTTGTATTCATACAAATACATATACTATATATAACGAAATGTGGAATGGCTGGAAGTAGTAGCGGATGGGCTGGCCCCAGCCACTTTTCTCAGCCACTTCCGCAGCATGACCACGTTGGAAGCTAACGATCGAGTAAGGGACAACGAGTCACATCAACAACAACATGTGCATTCACGTTTTCTTCCTCGAGTGGAACTCGACGCCCTCCACGCGCTCGCACCTGGCCGGCAGCTCGAACCCGAGACGTCGGCCCGTCGTCGGCGCGGCTGGCCTGGCCATGCCAGCGGCGGGGGCCTGGTTGCGGGCCCACCAGGACTGACCCACGGCCCTTCGTGGGCCCTGTAAACGACAGGGCCGTTTTTGTTACCGGTTCCGTTTTGCTGTTTTGTTGGCCGGCTCCGACGCCGTTTTTTGGCCGGTTCCGTCGCCGATGTTTTTTCGGTTCTGGCTCCGGCTCCAATTCCGGAGCCGTTTTTTTTGCCGTTTCGAATTGACGTCCATTTCCAAGACCCACTGAACCAGGGCCATTCACCTCACGACGACGGCGTCGACGTCTTCGCCTCGGGGACCCTGTGGGCATGCCTCTGGGGCCAGCGCCACCCCCTGACGGGTGCACGTCACCTGCAGTCCACCAGTACAAGAAGGACGCGCGATGTAAGGACCCAAGGGCTCGTGAAGGCCGTGTCGACACTCTGCGAGCGGGGCGGGGCCCGCGAAAGCGGCCAAGGAGGGGCCGAAGGGGCAAGGATGCAAGGGGGTCCCTTGGGAAGGTTGCCCATCCTCATTGTGCGGGTTGACTGTAAAAGGGAAACAACAAAAAAACACATAAACGTAAAATTTTGGAAACCCGCGCGGGTTTCTTGGATCTGCGCCAGGGGCGGCGCCGGAGGCGCCGCGGGGCGGGGGCCCTGCGCGGATCCAAGAAATCCGCGCGGAGCGCCCAAAGTTCATGTTTATGGCCTCTTTTTGTTCGACCATCCTCATTGCAGCGGGGGCCCATGCCGAGACACACCCTGCTTGCCTCCGGGGTGCCCTGGGTTTCGTGGGCCTCGATGGCATTGCAGTGGAGAGCGTGATAATCCCACACCGACAAGCGATGGACCTCCCGGGGTCTCAGGGTTGGGCTCCTTGCGCAAGGCTGCTTTTGGACCGGCCTCCGCTGCACGGCGTTTCTTCTGCGGCCACCCTCGTGATGCGGGCTGGCTGCGAGTGGACGGCGGACTCAGGTCGACCCGGGTCCGACGAAGAGGGTGGCGCTGGGCGGCGGGGCCGAGGCCAGCTGGCCGCAACAGGTGAGGAGGAGGAGGAGGAGGAGGAGGAGGAGGAGGAGGAGGAGGAGGGGGAGGAGGAGGGAGGAGGAGGAGGAGGGGAGGAGGGAGGAGGAGGGGGAGGAGGAGGAGGAGGAGGAGGAGGAGGAGGAGGAGGAGGAGAGGAGGAGGAGGAGGAGGAGGAGGGAGGAGGGAGGAGGAGGAGGGGGAGGAGGACGAGGAGGAGGAGGGGGAGGACGAGGAGGAGGACGAAGAGGAGGAGGGGGAAGAGGAGGAGGAGGAGGAGGCTCGGCGAAGCAGTTCGCGCAGCGGACTCTCTGCGCCGGCCGAGGAAGCGAGGGGCGGCTCGGCGGCGTAGAGCCGAGGCCGGCTGCCTGCGGCAGCTCCCGTACCCCCCCCCCCGCGTTTTCCCTGTCTTGGGCGGGGGCAATAAAGCCGTTCAAGCGGTCAGAAAAACGAAGGCCGTTCAGAGGGTCAAGTGCATGGCCATTCCCAATTTTTGGAAAGCTGCTCTGCGTCGCGTTCGGCGGCGTCCGCGCGTGGCAACACGCGAGACCGAATGGTGCGGAATCGGAATCACAAGCGAGCGGACAACAGAGCGTGCGCAGCACTCTAGTTATGCGCGCGATAGCAGCTTCGTGTGCTCCGATGCAAGGGCGAAGATCAAGTCGGGTGAGGATACCCGTCGGTCGGAAGAGGCAGGTCGAGCCATCGATGAAGGAGGGCGTTGGGAGTAGATTGGGCTTCCGCCCGCCTCCTGTAGAGGAGGGAAGAGGGAAAACCACTCGTGTGCTCCGATGCCAGGGCGAGGATCAAGTTGGGTGAGGAGACCCGTCGGTCGGAAGAGGCAGGTAGAGCCAAGAATCTGGGAGACGTAAGACTCGGGTACAAGGACTCGGGTTGGCCTGACGGGGGCTGTCATAAAAATAACGAAACCCAATCTGAAATTTGACGCGGGCTCCCGCTGCAGACATCCCACGAAAACTGGACCGTAAAAATCCATGACGCGCTCGTCAAAAAACTTCGGGAAACCCGAGTTCTGGCTTACTTGAGTCTTACGCTTGCCAAAAGGAAGTAGGAAGGCGTTGAAAGTAGATTGGGCTTCTGCCTGCCTCATGTAGAGGAGGGGAGAAGGAAAATCACTCGACTCTTGAAGTAGGAAGGCGGCTAAAGTAGATTGGTTACTGGAAATCCCCAAATACCTGCTTTCAACGACCGAGGGTTACAATGGAGGCCCGACCACAAGAAACCTTCCACAGAAACCCAACCCTGAGACCCCAAGACGTCCATCAATTGTTGGTGTGGGAACAAGCATCGAGACCAAAGAAACCCACGGCAACCTGGAGGCAAGCAGGGTGTTTGTTGGAATGTGCTCCCACTGTGCGTCGAGAGTCTCTGAGATCCGGCGGCTCTGGAAAAAACCGGGCGCCGCGGCCTTCTCAGAGCGTTCTGGAATGCTCTAGGCGCGATCCGGAACGCTCCGGAACGGAGTTACCAATCCTCGTCCGAACCTGTGATCCGACGTAGCGAAACACTTGCAGCGTCGTAGAAAATTACGCCCAGAACGCTAGGCCCCATCTTTCTCCATCACTTTTCGAGGCGGGTCGATCTGTGAAGGTCCCAGGGCCCGCAGAAGGGCGAAGACGCCCGGCCCGGCAAGACCGAGACGCCAGGATCTTCTCGGCGTAGCCCCGTCCGACGATGCCCCTCCCTTTCGTCCGACCTAGTCAGTGCAAGGAGCTGGCTCCTGCCTGCCGCATCCCTACGCCCTCTCGCGCGAAGCTAGACAAGCGCGCTCCACTGCTCGCAAAGTGACTCCTCGCAAAAGGCCCGGATCCGCCGCGAGGGATTCGCGATCCATCACAACAAAGCACGTTTGCGAGTAGGCGCTTGCGAGTAGTGTCGCTGCACCGACCTTGCAGACGTGCTCCAGCGGATTTTCGCGTGGACTTCTGTCAATAGAAAACCCCGAAATGCCGAGCGAAAAACGAAGTGAATTTCACGTGGAGTTTTTTTAGTCTTCCTTCCTGGCCCCCGAAAAATCCGAACGAAATTCACCTCGAAATCTGGAGCGGAATTCTCCTGGACACCCCGGGCCCATCCTATTGTTTTCCGAACGACATCCGCTCTGCGATGTCGGCGCCATGAGTAGTGGAAGGCGCTCGGTGAAAAGCGGCGCCCTCTCCAGCCGCGCCCCTGCCGCCGCCTTCCTGCACGCTGCCCGATGGGGGGGGGGGGGGGGGGCCGCCGGTCTGGGACGAGCGCTGATGCGGCCAGGGCCCCGCACGCGGAGGACTTCCTTTTTCACGACGGCGAGGCAGGGAGGAAGGAGGAATCCGCTGCCCCTCAGGAGACCCATGTTTTGTTTTGTTTTGGAAACTCTACCTGTACATCGTACGAGCACCAGACTCATGTTGCTCCCATCGTACTTGACGACAATAATTTCGAGCACCCGGAAAAGTGCCGAAAGAGTGTCGAAGCAGTATCGAAACAGTGTCGGACGAGTGTCTCCCAGGGCCCGACACGTGAAAACCCTCCAGGTTCGGTACATTTTTGGGGTGCTCGAAATTTTTATGGTGATCGAGGCTAAAGTAGGCTGGAACATCACAACACCGGACACGGCCACTGACGACGAAGGCTACGGGCAACTACAGCTTGCAGGTCCACCCCGTCAGCATCCACAACTACATCCTGCGCCCGCGCAAACACCGCGATACCGACTTCACCCAATCCTGCGTGGCACCGAAGGGAACGGGAATCAAGAGCAGCGGCGCGCACGCTACTAACGCGCGTTATGTGGGTGGGTGGGTGGGTGGGTGGGTGGGTGGGTGGGTGGGGTCGCTGGCTCCTACGTAACATAACACGTTGCGCGCGCACTGCGAGCAGCACGCCTGCGCGCTAAGCAGCAGGCGCTGCTGCAACGGGGGTGGGTGGAGCGGAGGGCGTTCTGTGATCTGCTGGGTCGGTGGGTGGGTCGGAGGCCACAGAGCGCGAGTCATGTGCTCGAGTAGAGAAACTCAAGCTCCAGGAGGGCCATCCCGAACGCACACCCCGCACGAAGACGACCGCAGGGCAGTGGAAGCAACGTCCAGCAACATATAACCCTGGGCTCGGGTATCACCGCGGATCAGCCACGAGACGCTGGATAGGCCAGGACACTGGCGCGCCCGAGACAGCAGCAGCCGGAGGTCGCGACATCCTCTATGAACTTCGCATTCCCCCGCAGGAAGCTTCAGAGTCCTGGCTCGGTGCGTCCTTGAGGGGCAAATTTTCCACCACCACTACCAAAGGTAGGACGGGGGAGACGGGAGGATGGGGAGGATGGGGAGGTCCTCCTCCTCCTCCTCCTCCTCCTCCTCCTCCTCCTCCTCCTCCTCCTCCTCCTCCTCCTACCTATGGTGGTGGTGGCGGTGGAAAACGGGCCAATCATAAAAGGGGGTGTCTCATCGCAACGGCGGAGCGCAAACCGACGAGCCGGCGGGGAGGGGCCCTGGTCGGGGTCCGTGAGCCGACTCTGGAGTGGGAGGGCGGCATGCTCGCGTCGTGACAGCCCGCCGCCACAACAGAGAACGCCAAATAATGAACGAAGCCCAGCTTCGGCCCCCGAAAAGCCCAGGCACGAAGGGCGCCAGAAGGACAGCCGTGAAAGGATCTGACGAACAGCGAGCCCCTGTCCGAACCCGAACTGTTCCTTTTTGCTGCGTCCTGATGGTGCGGCAGGCTCGTGCCGTCACGACCGGCGCGCTGGTTTCTGACACCGCGTGGACTGCTCAGCCTTGGGCGATCGCGGCATCCCGATGGCGCAGATCGGTCGATGATGTCCGAATCTGAGCCACCAGGCACGTTCAACCCCGAAACGCCCGCGCAGGGGTCGTTGCCGCGTCGACGCGACATGAACCCACCGCAGCAGCATCAGTCGACACCGCTGGGCGGGCGCGGGAAGGAGCGATTGAACAATGGGGTCGGGAGACGGCTCCTGGCACGTCTTGGGAACAGCAAAGATCTACTGAGCCCGGTTACGGTGGGGGCATGGGACAAAGAAACCTTCCATAAGGAATCCAGGGTCTGGAAGCCTGCGGAAGGCCTATCGTGGACTGGCCATGGATATGACCGCCGCCCTCATCAAATAAGGAGTCCTCCAGGGTCTGCAACCTCCTCGGCACACTCCTGAATCAACGCCCCCACCGTATCTGGCTTATCAGCCGGATCAGACCCGATGGATTAGGGAGTTTCGGCTCACCGCACGGTCTGGCACCGCACGGCGTTGGGACGTGGGAGGCCCCAGTTGCCCGAGACATCCTCGGAGAACGATCGCCGTCCCAACACAGCGCGATGAAGCCCAATCCCCGCTGACACACCAGTCGGTGCGGTCACCGCACCGCGTGGGGCCCCCCGAATTGAGCCGAAGATAGGCCGCATGCAACGGGATCAGTCCAGATTAGGGCAACTTGGGCTGGATTTCGGCGCGAGGTGTTCTGAGGCCCATGCTGGAGTAGGGCTCCCAGCAGCTGCAACCCAAGGCAGGGCAGGGGACTCAAGTTTCCTTTCTCCGCATCACGCTCAGACTGACAGTGGAACGTGTGGGTTCGATCTCCAGCGCATTCTGCGGCATCCAAGGGGGCATCGGGGACGGGGTGAACCAGGGCTGAACCTAAGCGGTGTTTTCATTTCCGTTTTGTTTTTCGTGTGTTTGTCCTTCCTCGTTTTGCCTTCGCTTCGCCTTGGATGCAATGCGAAACGCAAAGCAAAACGGCCCGCGAGATGGCCAACACACCGCGTATGTCCAGAACTGGGGTGAACAATCAGAGGGGGGAGGCGGGAGCCGAATTTTGTTTTTGCGCCCTCATTGCATGGGCGCGGTCGTGGAGACTTGCTGTTCGCCGTGGGTGGTGCAGCAGACTGGCAGTCGGCTGCCACTGCTGCAAGATGAGCTCCTCGGAAATCGAAACACGAGGGCGACACCACTGAGCACCGGTGTCAGCCGCGCGATCCGGGGGAGGAGGAAACAAGAGGAGGAGCTCACTGAAGCCAACAATGCAATGACACCAAGAAGTGGACTGCTAAGCTGTCGGCGCGTGGCCACCCAATGCTGGTACTGTGATCCAGGACTACACCAGCCCTTCCTCATAACCTGCACGAGCAACCAAGGACAACGTGTAGCTGCTGGGCAGCATGAGTGACCACGACGCCGTGCATAACAAGACAAGTCCAAACAGGCTGCTGGCCTATGCACGATGTGTAGCTTGCGTGCGCACTGCGGTCCAGAACCGCTTGGATCTCAGACCACCGAGCTCGCCCTGCCGTCTTCCACGAAGAGGGCCGGGCAGCTGCCGCGCACCCGCGAGAGCTGCGAGCCCTCCAGAAGGGCCGCCACGGGCACCCGGTGCACCGTGGCCGCCATGATCAGGGAAGAGCGCTCCACCTTCTCAATGGGTGACACATTGTCCTCGATCACCGTGCTCGTGACGGTTTTGTCGAAACAGTGCGTGGCAGCCACCACAACGTGAAGTGTCGCGGCGTCCACAGGCAGGGCGCCCGACTTGGTCAGGGCGTCGAGGAGGTCGAAAGCTGCGTCGCGCTCCCGCTTCTGCTCGTCGCCGTCCAGGACGGTGTCCGCAGGCTTGGCCAAGAGGGCCTTCTGCGACCTCTTGCGCCACAGGTCACCGGGGCTGATGATGGTGGGCCGAAGGGCGCCGTCGGTGTCTAGGGCCTCGAACTGCTGGTCCATCTCTCTGGGCACGCGGGTGTAATCCCGGGCAGCTCCCTCGCTTGCCTGGTCCGCGGCCCCGTCGCCAGCGGGCGGCTGTGTCTGGGACGGCTGCGGCGAGGGCAGCTGCGCCGCTCCCGCTGCGGGAGCCGCCGCCGCAGCGGCGGGCGGCGGAGCCGCCGCCGCGGCTGCCATTGGCACGGAAGCGCAAGGCGGCGGCGGAATGGCGCACTGCATGGCGACGGCGCCCTCTTTGGTGCACATGGGCGCGGCCCTCCTCTTGAGCTTCGCGCGGGCGTTCGGCCCTCCTCTTGAGCCCTCCTCTTGAGCCCTCTTCGGCGCCATCCCGCCGAAGTCCGCCTCCTCACACTCCTCATCGTCGTCGACATCATCGCTGCTCTCGCTGCTCCCCGCCAGCGGCGCCTCGAAGCGCGCCTGCAAAGTCCTCTCCTAGAAGGGGAAAGCATCTGCAGATACACAACACGTGCGGAGGTCCGCCGCGCTAATCTCTTGGAGCGGTGCTGGTTCTCCTGCCCGGGCGCGCCGAGCGCGCGAAGGGCGGCGCCAGAGGCGCCGGCAAGAGGCGCCAGCTCCGACCCAAGAGATCAGCGCAGACCTCCGACAGTCTTGATGCCTGCAACGTTTGTGCTTCCGCGATCTCCTGCAGCTCGTCCTTGGAGGCCGCCCACATGGGGTCCGAGGAGGGGCCGGAGGATCGCGCCGCGTCGCTGGTGCATCGGTGATGCGTCGGCGTCTTCGGGCTGAAGAGAGAATCGGACTCCGCATCAAGCCCTATCGCCGATGTATCGGCGACGCGGCGCGATCCGCCGACCGCACCTTCTTCGACTCCGTCCGTGTCGATATGTGGCGAACGGGCATCACGCATTCATGCCTATGGACGGTGCTGATCCGCGTCTCGCCATCTGAGGGCGCGTGATGAATACGGGGCGCGGGTCGTCGGAACCCGAGGGGGGGGGTCCACTCGAGCGGGAAGCCCCATCCGATCACACACACAGACACAGACACAGACGCAGACACAGACACAGACACAGACACAGACACAGACACAGCACAGACACAGACACAGACACAGACACAGACACAGACACAAGCACACACGCACACACGCACACACGCACACACACACACACACACACACACACACACACACACACACACACACACGCACACCCATGGCTCCCCCGGAATTCCACCCAGCGGAATTTCGGGGTCGCGCGAGTGTGGGTGGGCCTGGAGTCATTGTGGGGAAACCGCAGGGTACCAATACTGCTACCCTTCCCTCGTTATCCCCTTTTTTGGGGGCCTCCTGGGAGGCCCTCGTCGCCACAGCTGGATTCGCCTCGAAATCCTGGTCAGAACGCGCCCCAGGAGAGCTTCGGCGGATCCAGCGGTGGCGACGAGGGCCTCCCAGGAGGCCCCAAAAAGGGGAAAACGAGGAAAGGGTAGAGGTATGGGTACCTTTTCCTCCTCTGAGCATGGCGTCCTTCTTCTCGTCCTCGATAATCGCCATCATGGCCCTCACGTTCTCCCGGACTGCCGCCAGACGCTCCGAGGTCGTGGCCCCGCCTACGAGCTCGCCGAAGGCCTCCGCAGCCTGGGCCCTGGCGAAGGTCGCCGCGTCGAAGGAGAGCAGGTCGCTGGGGATCTGGTACTTGGTGAAGAGAAGCATCAAGTCCTACTGGAGGGGCCAAAACCCTGAGATGCGGGCGCTGCATTCTTTTCACACTGAGCGTCCTCGCCCGTTTTCGGGCCCCTGATCGTCAGAGATCGATCAGGCTCAAAGAATGCAGCAAACGGAAGAGCTCGGGTCGGGCTGTTTCGCGGCGTTGCAACTGTTTGTAACATCGGATGTCAGGGATCAGATATACGACCCAGGAACTGTTGCTGGACGTGTCGCGGCGGCGGCCAACTGCAGTTCGCCATGCCCTGCTTGCAAGCCGATGGTGCGCGGTTGCGCTTTGCTGGGCGGCAAGCTGGGAAAATCTCGGGTACTGTACTTGATGCCTGCGGACTCGGACGTGCTGGCATCTCACGTTGTTCACCGTCACCAGTCAGCCTTCGGAGGCCCACACGAATTTCTTCGGTTGGCGCCGGAAGCCTCCTCCCCCAGCGCGCGGAACACGCCAAGGAATGGCGAACTGATACTTGATGGGCATAGACGAAGATGAACGGCATAAACGGCATGAGAGGTCCGGGTGGATCTCTTGGGTCGGCGCTAGGCCCCCCTGAGGGCGCCTTCGGCGCCGCAGCGCGCCCCGCGCGCCAGGGAGAGGGTCCAGCGCCGATCCAAGGACTGCGCGCGGACCTCCGTGGATTTGCGCTTATGCCATTTGGGTTCTTGGAATTGCATATAATGTCCTGTGTCAACTTGATCTCCTTGGCGAGGCTGTCCACCGGAAGGTTTAGCACCCTTTCGAGCTGCGGCTTGATCTGGATCACGAGAACGCCGAAGAGCGTGCTTTCCAGCTGCATGGCGCGGAAGGCCTTGGCGAAACGCTGCTGCTCAGGCGACAACGACCCGATGGCGTCCCGAAACTCCTTGGGCGTCGGGATAGTGGACAACTCCAGGGGAATACTGAGCTCGTCCTTGTTCTTCACAATGGCTGCGTACTTCGGCTCGAACACGGTTGCTGAGACGATGCTGCCCACCATGACGATCATCGAACTGAACTGGCGTGCCCTGGACACCAGTGTGAGACGGGCGCTGGCGTGCCCCGAGAACTGGTGGCTGAGCCAGGCATGCAGGTAGCGGTCCCCCCGGAACGTCACGCTTGCGGAGGCGCTGAGGGGGAACTGCATGGGTCGAGGAAGAAAAAAGGCCACAAACACAGACTCTCGACGGTCCGCGCGGTTTTTAAAAAATCTGCGGCTGGACCCCCCTCCCTGGCGCGCTCCGCGCGCCAGGGGGCGGCGCTGGAGGCGCCGCCCCTGAGGCGGGCCTGGGGGCCCAGCGCAGATCCAGGCAAGCTGCGCGGACCGGCGGAGGTTTCTAGTGATGCCCTCTTCTCTTCCTCCAATGGGGGTGCCCCGCTCGCTCTTGGCCACCATCGTCACGATGGGCTCCGCAAGGCTGGACTCCGCGCCCGCGTCACGAGGCTCTTGCTCGATGCTCACGGTGCCCTCAGGCGAGTGGCCGGCGGAGCGGCGCACGGCGAAGCAGAAGGGCGCTGGGGCGTAGGGCGCGGCGAAGAGGCGACGATCGTGTTAGGTCGGGCACGTCCTCCTACAGGTGGGCTTTGGGCGAACAGTAAAAAATATAAACGAATCCTCCAAAATACTCAAAAAGAAAAGAAATATCGTCCCCAGACTATCGTTTAATACTATTTTTGAAGATTCCTCCTGTAGAGGGACGTGCCCGACTTAACGATAGTGGAACCTCATGTAGTCCGCGAAGGCAGCCGGCGTCACCTCCTTGCCGATGGCAGCGATGAGCTGGCTCCGGAGCATGGACTCGATGTAGTCTACGGCCGCTCCGAGCTGACTGCAGACCGAAGGCCAGAGAAGAAACAAGCGACATGTAACCATCGGTCGGAAGAAGTACGTCGAAACATGGACTGGGAAGGCATTGGAAGTAGATTGGGTTTTTTCAGCCCCCTTGGGCGGACGGAAAAAAGTTAAGCCACTCGATCATTGAAGTAGGAAGGCGCTCAAAGTAGATTGGAATATGGGGAATCCAGGAATACCTACTTTCAGCCATTGATGAGTAGAGCACAAGCTTCTGGAGGGCGGCGCGGACCTCTGGGGGTCGGCGCTGGATCCCCCCTCCCCCAGGCGCGCGAGGGTACCGTCGGGGCCTTGACCTAAGAAACCCTAAAAATGAGGAGCGAGGCCCCTCTTTTCCGTAAGTTAAACTTCGACTTCCGATGGAAAACATGAGGAAAGCCTGAGGCAAGCTGCGAAACAAGTAAGGAACATCGAGCCCCTCCCCAACGAAAAGGGTTCCTTCTTCAGGGCCCCGACTGTACGCCGGGGGCGGCGGTGGAGGCACCGCCAGGGGGCGCCGGCGCCGATCCAGGAGCTCCGCGGGGACCTCCGCTGGCCGTGGCTCGGACGCCCCCGCGGTGCATTGCTGGGTTCCGTGCGTGCGGAGGAGGAGGAGGAGGAGGAGGAGGAGGAGGAGGAGGAGGAGGGAGGGGAAGGAGGAGGAGGGGAACACAGAGGGAGGAGGAGGAGGAGGAGAGGAGGAGGAGGAGGAGGAGGAGGAGGAGGAGGAGGAGGAGGAGGAGGAGGAGGAGGAGGAGGAGGAGGGGGAGGGGGAACACAGAGAGAGAGGAGGAGGAGATGAG